TTTAGCTCTTCTTTCTCATTCCTTTCTTCTCTTTTTCTTTCCATTCCCTCTCTCAGCAAAACTCTTCCTTCCTTCCTCATCTCTGCTTTATTACTTCACTCCAGGCCTCTCATTCCCTCTATCTGTTTATTCTGCCCTCTCTATTTCTGGAGGCTGTGTGTGTGTGTGTGTGTGTGTGTGTGTGTGTGTTTTAAACAGTGGCGTCTTTCATTGCGCTAGAGCGTCACTGTGTCACACCCCCAGAAAGCCCCTTCGCTCCACTCCTCTGTTTCACTTCCTCTCCTCCTCTTCTCTCAGTGCCCGCTGCTCACACACACACACACACACACACACACACACAAATGAAAAAGTACACATAACTACAGTTTATCATTCCTCCAAATAGAATGTTGTACAACCAATAACATTCCTGAGATATCTAACCCATAATAAAACACACACAGTCTAGTTTACACATCCAGAACAAGATATTTACACTGATCACGGAGAACAAAACTGCTTGCAGAACTGAAAGAAATCAACGTTCATGCACAAAGAAATAGTTTTAGGTGACTCTGTGCATCTGTTCAGAGGTTTTCACCTACAGTGGGTTAGATGCCGTTTTCTTTCCATTAAAAATAGGGGCCATTGACATAAGAATGTGTTTTTGCTTTGAAAACGCACAACTTGGGCAGTGCAATGGGGATAAAACATGAGGTCTCAAAATGCATTTTTAAAGTTTAACAGCTTTTAACTTGCAAAATCACCACGGTCAAACACGTCCATCCAGTGCATGTTTACATAGAAAAACAATGGAAAATCAATGTAGTGCAATGCAAAAACACATTCTGTGTGAGCGGCCCCATAATATGTAGATCTAATATAAATATATCATTCAAATAAGTCAATATGACTTTCTCGAGTCAAGTTAAATGATTATAAAATATTTGTATAGTACTTTTCACAATACACATTGTTTCAAAGCAAAGCTATACAGAAAATCATGATGATAATGTTTATAATATATTATGTCTTATAGGCACATCTAGCAGATTAGAGCTGAGTGATAATAGAGTTTACATTTTGCAATGATACAAGCAATCAAGCAGTTTTGATTGGCTATATTTACTATATTTGATTTAATAGACTTGCTATACAGTATTGAAAGCCCTATGTGTGTCACCATCATGGACTTTTAGTTTGTTGTCTTTCCTCTTGTTTCCCTGTTTTGACCTAGTTTCCCATGGTGTTGATTATATCATTATGTTCAGGTGTGTCTTGTTAATTATCTTCATTTGTCTGTGTACTTAAGTTCCTGACTGTTCAGTTTAGTTTGTCGGGTCTCGTCTATGTTTTCACGTGTGCTAAGCCTTCCTCTTGTGGATTAACCTTCTGTGTAGATAATTACAGATTATTTTACCTTCATCATCTTCGTGAGTGCACAAATGTTTTCATAAAAATCTGACTGTGCTGACAAAGTGGAAACAGCTGTAAAAAAGGTATTTTTAAAATGAACTTCTTCCTTCTATCAGGCCATTCCTTAAATATTTATTTAAATATTTCTATATCTATTTTCTTGAGTCTAATCATAGTTAAATCTATAATATTAAGGAAAAACAACAAAGTGTGTACGAGAGAGAAAGCGAGAGCAAAGGATGGTCATCCAGTTCTCTCAAGAGTTCAGAAGCTCCACTTGCAGTCAAAACATGTGAGTTTGTCTTTCTGTGCCCAGTAATCTCACCGTCCCCTCAACACACACTCCAAACCCTAATGATAAAGACACACACACTGCTATGTATAGCCAAACAGCCCTCAACGGGGCTAATGATAACTTTTCCCGGGTTCCACCTCCATCTGTGGCATTTCAATGCCTGGCTACAAACCCAGGTACTCGGTTATGTGTTGCTGAAAAACTCTTAGCAACCACCGTAAAAAAACCTTAAGGAATTAGTAGAAATCTAAGGCAATGGCTGACTGTGTCATGAGACTGATCACTTGTGACGTATATGTTGCTTGCAAAGAGCTTTTACACAGCAATTATAATCTAGCTCCATTGTGTTACATTGCAGATCTCACTTGCAGTGAACACAAGGAGTGAGAGATGTTGTAACTACAGCAATAACAACACCAATGCTGTGTTATGACAGAAACTATTGTGAAATGTTTAGCATAAACGCTTAGGTAAGGGCGAGAGACAAGATATGTTGTAATGCATCTGAAGGAATCCCTTGCCTCAGGGGTTTTTGGCCCATAGACACAGCTGCTTAAATCTCTTGTGAAAAAGAAGTGCATTTTAGCATACTTTCAAACAGAGTACTCAATAATGTACTTTAAAAGAATATGCTAAATTGTGAGCTGAATGTCATGTTTTCAGATACTTCATAATTGCAATTAAATAAATTAATTATGGTTTAAATTTATATAAAATGCAATTAGCTGAACTTTAGAATGCTTTTTGACTCACTTAAGTAGCACTTAAGTACATCATTATATGTAATTTCATAATTCTATTCTTTGAAATATGGTTAAAGTGTTACTGCTGAATGTACTGACAAGCATTTATGATAAAGTAAAATATACTTTAATGTCATTTCTATTCAAACTTGAATGTCATGTAGCCTATTTAAATATATTTGTAATTACACATTTATAATGATGAAGTTGCAGTTTAGTACATGTAAAATATATTGACTTTAAATGTAATATCAATCAACACACTACAGTTAAAATGATCAGGTACTTTTCGTGCTTTAGTATGTTAGTCAACACAATAAGTGTAATTTTTTTATAGCAAGACACAAGATTATTATTATTATAATGATTTAAAATGTACTTTAAATATAACTTTTAATATGATATTATTTCAAAGCTCACTTTTTAAAAGCTCACTTTAAAAAGTCACACTTTAGTGCACTTAAGTCGCCTTTTATTTCATTAATATTATTTTATCTGCAAATACACATCAGAAATTTTTCACAAAGGATAATTCATCCAGAAATGACATTTTCTCTTCTCCATTGTGTCTTTCCTCAATATGTCAGAGATGCTCTTTTCCATACAGGAAAAGTGGATGGGAACCAGAAAGCACCATAAAAGCATTCCATATTTCGTGCGCATATGAAAATAATAGTGGCTTGGAGTGACATGAGGGTGGGTCAGTGGTGACAAAGATGTCATATTGGGTGAATTATTCCTTCATTTTCATACAACCAGACACAGATAAACACAGAAAACAATCACAGCTGAAGCAAACCTGCTACCAGAGCCCTCTTTCAGATTTCAGCACTTGTTCACGACTCACAAGACCGACGTGTCCTGGTAACACAAACACTGCTGCAGGTTTAGGTGTATCTTTGAGAGCTCACATGCTGCCCTGGGCCGCTGGAGCGGCTCGGAGATGTATAATATAACTACCGCTCAGGCTGATCCTGGAAAGCTGGATTAAAGGGAACTGCGTGATTTACGATTTGCAAAGAATAAGCAAGTTGAAGGAAAAGACTGTTGTGGAGTTTCTGAGAGACGGAGAGGAGAGATGGATGGAGAACCGGCTCCTGGAATAAGGTGAAATCCATCCCTTTGACATGAAGAACACACTTTGGGATGAAAGTGTGATGAAATCTTTCAGAAAATCAGCGGTAATTACTAGTGGAAGCACTTTCACCAAACTGTGGTTAAATCTGGGAGGTTGATATAAAGAGCTGATATAAAAGAGCTTCTCGAGTGATGTAATATGGGACTTTCCAATGGGAACATTTAGCCATAATCAGTGCAAGTGAAACGGTGTCACTCTAGACCAGCCAGCATATTTACAGGGACAGTTCACCCAAAAATGAAAATGTGCTGTTAATTTACACAACCTCAGGCCATCCAAGACGTAGGTGGCTTTTAGTGTAACAGTAAAGAAGATTTTTAGCTGAAACTGTGGTCCTTGGTGATTCATAGAATGCAGAATTGAGTAAAAAAAGCATAAAGCATAAACAAGCAAGACAAAATTAACACTCATGGCTCCTGACAATATATTGAGGTCTTATGAAGAGAAACGATCAGTCTGTGCAAGAAACTGAACATTATTTACAACATTATGACTTGTAATCCAGAGCCTTGGGCAAACGGTCCAGAGAGTGATGTCCGATTCACGAACGAATCATTCTTTTGAACTGGTCAAAACACCAGCGTATATGATCGTATGATAAATGAACTCATTCAACGCTCCAGTTCCGCCGACTCAGACCGAAGACGAGATGAGCCGGTGATACAAGCATGCTTTATATGCTTTAGTCATCTGCATTTCACATCTTTATTGCATAATATAACAATATAATTGTGTATACGTCACGTGATTATGTAAACCAACTGGTGAATCGGTTATTTGAACCTATTAATTGAAACAAACTGTGTGAAAGAACCAGTTCTCGGAAAATAATCAGATTTCCCCGTTTGCCTGAGGCATTACAGGTCATAATGTCGAAAATAATGTTCAGCTTCTTGCACAAACCAAACGTTTCACTTTATAAGGCCTCAATATATCGTCAGGAGCCATGGGTATTAATTTTGTGTTGCCTGAAATGCTTTTTTGACTCTCAAAATGCCGGTAGCTTACATTTGATGAATTCAAAACGTAATAATCACTTTAATGTAGCTTGCACTCACTGTTGTACATGGAAGCAGTTCCGGGCGGATGACGTATGGAGGTCGGCTTTGTGCATGCGCTGCTCAGAAGTGACGCACGCGGAAGCGCAGGGGAGAGATCAAAACAAAACAACGGTCACTTATTAGAAGTACAAAACGAGGATTTGTAAAGAAGAATGTCTGAAAGATCAAAGACAATTTTTAATATAACTCCGACTGGATTCGTCTGAAAGAAGAAAGTCATATACACCTATGACTTGAGGGTGAGTAATTTATGGACTAATTTTCATTTTTGGGTGAACTAACCCTTTAACGTTAAAAAAGAACCACCAGCAACAGAAATCAAAAGCCCAGATGCTGCATTTCTTATTCTAACATATTCCTGGACTCACCTGTAGGCTGCACCTGCGGTACTCTCTGTCCGGTCCAGAGCATCTGTAGTCGTTGGCGGCCGCTGGAGGCCTCCGGTCCCTCTCGGCTTCGTTTCTGGAGGGCTGGGCAGCGTTCTGCAGGACCCAGGGCTCAGGGTTTGGGTTTGTGGGAGTCTGGAGGCCGTAGGGAGGAGGCTCTCTGGGAGTGTGCGATCGGTGGATAGAGTGCGTGTAGGAGTGTGGGACTTGGCGAGAAGAGCGGCCGTCGATGCGTCTGTCGCGGGCCACGTGTCTCTGGGTCAGGGGCTGTGAATGTGAGATTCGCTCGTGTTCCCGCACTCTCTCCACGCGTCTGTGCGGCTCTCCATCACTTGTTCTCTCGGCTGCCACATCACTCTCCACGTCTGCTGCCTCCGTCTCCTTTTCCTTCTCTTTTCGTTCTCTATTAATAGTGTCTGTAATAACTAGTCCCTCTTCTCCCTGTGTTTTGTCCACATGTGTGCTGGAGTTCACACTGAGAGCCTCGAGACTGTCTGTGATGGTGGTGTTGTGGCGGCGTGTGTGTCGCGCATGACGGTTTTGTCTGTGTAAGGGAAGAGAGAACGGCACCCTGCCATACCCAAACTGTCCAGGACGAATAGAAGAACTAGACCTGGTGTGACAGGGAGAGAGAATAACATGTATGAGTATGCTGGAAACAGGCCTGTTGGACAAATATAGTATTTTTGAATAGAACTGTGCAAAGATGAACATGTTAGACATCAAAATATCAAAGCCAAAAGGAATAAAAATCCCATTAAAGCTGATGTTGAAAAAGGGTGTGTGAAAACCACTATTTCAAATAAATGCTGTTCTTTTGAACTGCCTATTCATCAAAAAAATCCTGAAAAATAAAATGCATCACAGTTTCCACAAAAATATTGTGCAGCACAACTGTTTTCAACATTGATAATAATCAGAAATGTTTGTTGAGCAGCAAATCAGCATATTAGAATGATTTCTGAAGATCATGTGACACTGAAGACTGCAATAATGATGCTGAAAATTCAGCTTTGATCACAGCAATTTTTTAAAATTCTAATAATGCTTCACAAAATTTCTGAATTGTCTTGGTGAACAGAAGAGATTTCAAAAACATTACCAAATCTGGCCACTAAAAGCCCTGTATCATGACCTTCACGGGCACTTCACTAGGAAGCACGCAGCACATTCAGATTATATATTTGTTTAAATCACCTTTTGTTGGACATATTGCAATATATATATCATGCAACCCTAGCTATGAATGAGCTATGCTCATGTGAACAGATAGGTCCTCCCTAAAGGCAACCAGTCCAGCTCACCTTCTTATAGACGCTGGATCCCTGTTGTTGGAAACCGACCTCCTGCTCCCACTGCCTACAACTCTGCCGTGATTGGGCGACCGTGCGGGAACTCTCCCGTAGGGAAGTGAAGCTGATGAGGAAGGTGAACGGTAGACTGAAGCTGTCTCTTGATTGGGTGGGCCGAACTGCACTGGCCCAGCACCGCCGGCTTCGTTTCGGTAGAGCGGTAAGCCAGGATTGGGATTGGCTGGAAGAGGCGGGGGAAAGTAAGGAGATGTAGTAGGGTCTGACCGCAGAGATCACAGGGGTGTTGTTCGGGACACCCGGTGGAAGGTAAGCCGGTCTGTTCCACATAAGAGGCGGGGTTTGGGGCGGCGGCATACACTGTCTCCGCCTCTCGGACACGCCCACTCCACAGCTCTGAGAACACTCCACCCACTCGCTCCATGGTCCCCACACCCCTTCAAGCGCCTCCTCCTCTGCCTGACGAGACTGTCGTCCTGCCGCCTGTCAAAGGAAGGCCTCATAATTATATACAGTAAGTAAATATGCCACATATTTTAATTTTTAAGTCTCAGACTCAGACCTAAATATATATATATTTCTGTCATGACAACTCTTGGAGGGATTGGCATGGTAATGTACATGACAATGTTAATGTATTTGGTCTTGGCGGAATAGATCTGCTACGCTGCTGCTGCGGCAGAGCAAGTACTGAGACTTGCTACTGCCAATACATCCACAACATGCTGCTGTGAGCATGTAAGAAATATTGCTGCTGCAAATATAACATACATGAAATAACCCCCATATAGCATACATGAATCACCTCGTAGCAGATCTATACAGGTGGAGCTGGGGAAGGTGGAGGGTTTCTGAAAGCAAGCTGCAACTGCTACTGCAAGCACTAGTCATATATTGAATGTTGAGCAGCGAGCTCATTGGCTACCGATACAGGAGAGAACCAATCAGCTATGCCATGTGATGATGTCATTAGGTCAGATTGAGTTAGACCTATCGGACTGCGCCATCTAGAGTTTCATGCCAGAACCAGAAATATATATATATTTCACATGCACAGCTGTAAAAACAAACATCTCAGAAAACTGCAAAACTAGCCTGGGGGGCTTAAGCTGAAACTGAAACCTAATAACCAGCCGTAATTACAATTATTTAAGAAGTCTGATCAATATCAAATTACATAGTACAAATCACAAGATTAAACAAGCAAAGCATGAACAATTGTTTTGAAAAAAACAAACAAAAAAACAGAATAATTCCCCAAACTACACCCAACATTATACAAGTTGAAACGCATGTCCTGTTCTATCGTGCTCAGTGATGAATGACATTATGACTAAGAAAGAGGCGTAATTAAACGAATGGCATGTGCTGCATTCAGGAAGAGGCTGGACTCTGGAGTTCAGCCCAGTGCAATGACATTCTTTACAGTGCTGGACGCACATTTGATCTAATTCCAGTTACTTATATAACCTAATTTCATCAATCAGGAGTGAAGAATTCGAGCGTCTGCAGGGCAGGCAGAGGTAGAAGGGAAGAAAGCAACAAACAAAAGAATCCATTGAGTTCACAAAATAGAGAGGAAAAAAAAGACAAGAGAGCAAGGCCTGTAATGCACCTCTGATCCTGTCTAAACTGCCAACAAGGTCACACAACGCCGGCCTGTGTCTGCACTGATGTGTGTGTGTGTGTATGTGTGTGTGTGTGTGTGTGTGTGTGTGTGTGTGTGTGTGTGTGTGTGTGTGTGT